ATCTCCTTTACTCTCTCATACCTACGTATATACATATAGCTGCCACAAGACTTGGAAAAGGTTTACCTTAGACAGTTGGTAAGACGAAACAAAGCTCGCGACGAGGCATTTACCCTGAGCTTGCGCCAGCTAGTGTCTCGCGCGCGTGTATTAAGTTAGCGGCTCGTCGTCGTCGTCGTAGTCTTCGTACTGCAGAGCAGGTTCTATCAATGTCGCTTACCCGCCTTCTCCTCCATTGTGACGCGCGCGCGCTCCTCGACGTACGACCGAAATCTCTCTCTCACTCTCTTGGTATATGCGCTTAAAATTACCGTGAGTAGTGCACGCGACGCGCGAGAGACTTTGTAACGGAGGACTAGAGAGACGGAGACACTTTTGCAACGCAAATCGTTAAAAAACAATTCGCTCGGGACAACTTGCGCATTTATACGAACGCCTGGTAGACACGAAAGTTAAGTTTCCTCTCTCTTAGTGAAGACACAAAATGGATCCGTTATTCCGGGGGCCAATATTAGCAGCTGACCGAACCAGCCGTTGCAATTATTTGGCACTGCTATATACAGGTAAAAGGCAGCAATTAAAAGTGTATACACAAGAGAGGAAAAGAAGAAAGAGCCAAGAAGCCAATGGAACTTTTCGTTGTCTATTACAGTCAGAAAGTCTGCTCGACTCACAATATATATATTTCTTTTTTTTTACATCAGGAAATCTTTAATCTTCATGGCAAAGTTGCCAAGGATCGCAAATGCGCGTGCGAAATAATTAGTTTTTCCTTTTCACCGCGCATCGCGCAAAAGGCAGCGCGTCGCATGACATTGAAATAAGGCACAGACGCACAAAAGAGCATTACATGGCAGGAGGGCGGGGGTGAGGGACGTCGATAATTTTGCCCATATGCTCATTGCTTTTAGTATTGATTATATCGAGCCATCGCGTCGCCGGTGGCGCGTATACATACGCGCGTGTATGTGCTGTTGTTGTTGAACGCGATTCTTCCGACCAACGCCCAGAGGCAGAGGTGAACTACTACCACTACTGCACGATACAACAGTAACACACGCACGCGGCATACAATATTATCGTTTACCTGCTCGCGCGTGCTGTATACATTCAATAGGCGCGCATGAGTAGGCTGTATGTACGCGCGCAAGCGAGGCACACACACGATGTAATTTCTCTGCGAGCTGCGCGCGCGTCATTAAAAATAAATGAAAAACTACTCGTTATTATCCTAGACTGCGATCGCAGCAAGATAAAAACTCCATCGTGATATATAATAAAATAATATTAATATCGGCTGTCACGTGCGTAGAGGTGTACCACGTTATATTTTGGATGGAAAATTCCGCCCTGTAAAAAGGAGAGACGTAGATGTGTATCCGTTACACGTGTAAGCGAAGTATGTGTGTCAAAGTGGATTAAAGATGTCACTCGGACACACGTACATACATATGAATTGGATCGCGTCAAATTACCAACGCAGAGTGTAAAAATTTACAACTCGAAGGATAAAAATATAGTAGAGTTTAAAAATGGATCGTTACTCCAGTGCGGGCGTCATTTCTTATTCATCTCGAACTCGAATTTCTCTCGGACATTTGCAAGCGACGTATTTTAATATTTCAGCGTACACACACTCTCGCACACACACAAACACACACGCACGCAGCCTTTTAATATTGCATTTTAATTTACATGTCGCAGCTTTTACCTCTCTCGAGCTTAGTACAACCCGCGCGACGCGACGCCTTTGACCCCCCCCCCCCCCCCCCCC